GTCCCATTTAGGGCTGGTCACTCCTCAGTGTTAGGAAGTCCCAGTCCTAGCTGAGGACCTATTGGCTATTGATAGATGCTGAGAAAGGGAGACTCAGTTTTCCTTACTAGTGTGACACCTTGTAGGTTAATCAGATGCCCAAGGGATAGCCAGACACACTTGGGAAACACAAATTAAACTTGGTAGACCTTAAAAAAGAAAAAAAAAAAAAAGAAATAAGAGGACATGAAGTTGGGAAGTGGTAGTAAGGTAGGGGTAGAGTTGGGAGAGGGGTCTGTATATGCTCAAAATACACTGTATGGCATCTTCAAGTCAATAGAAATATTTTTTAAAATTTGTTACATTAATTTACATGGTAGAACATATGTGGAGATCAGTGGATAATTTTGCAAGAGTTGGCTCTCTTCTTCCATATGTGCATCCTGGGAATCGAACTAAGGTCATTAGACCTTAGCAACAAGCTCCTTTATCCACTAAGCTATCTCACTGGCCCTCCATCATGGATTTTGGAGTCAGGGTCTCTCACTGACCTGGGACTCACTGATTAGGTTATGCTGGCTATCTATGCCTTCCCACCACTGAAGCATGTGATCAAGTACCACCACACCTGGATTTTCCTTCCTGGGTTCCAAGGGTTGACCTCTTGGCCTAGCCATTTTACTAACTGAACCTGCTCACTGCTCCAGCCTTTTAGTTTGATTTCTTAGTGTCTAAACAGCTAAGAAATGTAAGCTAAACTTATTTTTAAGCCACATGTTAGTTTTCAAATCATAGGCTCTGTTAGTTTTTATCACCCCAGCATCTTCTCAGGTTTAAGAAACCTCTAAATTTAAAGCTATTGATCTTCACTATATAGTTTTTCCTGTTTTTCTGAATTTCCCATGAAAGAGGAAATACCAATTACAGTCTTCATTACTTTACAGATCACATGAAAATATTGAATCTGATGCTCAGGGTCCTGATTCTGAGTACCTGCTGCTGTGCTGTTAAATTTCATAGGTGTCTTTTGACCCCTGTTCTGTCACTGTATTCTAAGCAGTTTAGATTTAGTGGTTTCTCTCTATACAGTGTTTGCTGTGCAGAATTTCCATTAGCATAGGACTTTGAACTGTCACTTCTTATGAACATTGCTTAACCCTGTTCCCCCATCCCTGTCTACCTATAATTAGTTCCTTCAGCTCTGCTTAGGAAATCAAATAAGTGTGTTGATGTGTTTCCAGAGGGGGAAACAGAAAGGACTCAGAGCTGGGATTGAAACCTACGTAGGTGGCCTAAGTGCTCTTTCCTCCTTCCCTTTCTTGGGAGGCATTTCCCCAGATACTGGCTGTGACAGGTTACCCTCCCAGTGTAGTTGGACTGTCCAAGGGACTGAACTTTAAAGAATATACCCTTTGAGGACAGAAGTGGAGTAGATCTTATTTTCTTCATGCCTTATAGTGCCATGACTTCCCTGTGGGATTTGGGGTAAAATCTAGTACAACAACTATCCTAATTATGGTTCTACAATCAACAACTTATCTGCCCAGGACATGGAAATATAAAAAGAATGAAAAATAGGACATGGAGAGGTGGCTCAGTGTTGAAGAGCACTGGCTGCTTTTGCAGAGGACCTGGGTTTGGTTCCCAGTACCCACTTGGTAGCTAACAACTGTCTGTAACTCCAGTTCTAGGGGATCTGACACCCTCTTCAGGTTTCCAAGGGCTCCTGCACATACATAGTTCACATAAACCTATGTAAGCACACACATATACATAAAACTAGTAAATAAATTAATCTTTAAAAAATGGAAAAAATAGTAGCCAGACGTGGTGGCGCACGCCTGTAGTCCCAGCACTTGGGAGGCAGAGGCAGGCAGATCTCTGTGAGTTCAAGGCCAGCCTGGTCTCCATAGTGAGTTCCAGGACAGCTGGGGCTACAGGGAGACCCTGCTTATTTTAAATAGTCAATTATATAGAAATGAAAACAGAGAGAGAATAAATAAAGAGTAAAATCTGAGGGGTAAGTCTTTTGTTTTTCCACATACTTCCCGTCTTTGATCTCTTCATTTCTTTTTTTCTTTTTCTTTTTCTTTTTTTGGGTTTCCCTGTAGACCCAGCTGGCCCAGAACTCCCTATATAGACCAGGCTGGCCTACAGAGATCTGCCTGCCTCTGCCTCCCAAGTGCTGGGATTAAAGATGTGGGTCACCATGCCTGGCCTCTTCATTTCTTTATAAACTCCAGTTCCAACCGTTACATCTTCCTTTTGCCTGAGATCTTCGTATGACATTTACTGAAGTGCAGATCTGTTGGTGACTTTTTTTTTTTGGCCTGAAAACATTTACACATGCATCATAACACTCATTGCAACATGCATGTGGCCATCACAGGATAACTTAGGGGAGTCGGCTCTCTCCTTCCACTCTGTGTGGGTCTTGGTGATGAAACTCAGGTCATCAGCCTTGGTGGCAGGTGCCTTTACCTGCTGAGCCATCTTGCTGGCCCTGCCTTTATTCTTAAAATGCATTTTTACTGGGTTTAAAATATTAGTTTGCTAGTTTCCATTCACCATTGTCCCTTGCCATTCTACTCTCTTCTGGACGAGATACTTTCTGTTGAAGCCCACTGCCATTCCTGTGTCTTCCTCAGCAGATGGTTTAGCTGGTTTTGAGGAATCACACAGTGATGCACCTCGGTGTACTTTTTTCTGTTTGGTGTCTTGTTTAGGGGTTTTCCAGCTTTCTGAATCCATAGGCATATTATTCTTTTTTTCAAAAAAAGGTTTGTGGACTGGAGAGATGGCTCAGCAGTTACGAACACTGACTGTTCTTTCAGAGGACACAGGTTTGATTCCCAGCATCCACATGGCAACTTACAATCTTCTGTAACTCCAGTTCCAGAGGGTCCAGTGCCCTCTTCTGACTTCCACTGGCATTGCATGACATAAGTGCACTTGCATACATTCAGGCAATACACTCATACACATAAAATTTAAACAAATTTTTTTTAAAGATTTGTTATTTTTAAGAGAGAGAGAGAGAGAGAGAGAGAGAGAGAGAGAGTGTGTGTGTGTGTGTGTGTGTGTGTGTGTGTGTGTATCTGTGCCCATGTGCAAGGACCTGCAGAGGCCAGAAGATGGTATCGGATCCTCTGGAGCTAGAGTTACAGATGGTTGGGAGCTGGGAACTGAACTGGGAACTTCTGCAACAATAATATATACTCTTGATCATGAAGAGCCCTGTGGGCATATTTTTTACATGAAATTTCAAACCTTTTTTTTTTTTTTGTCTTTCTGAGACAGGATCTCCTTGTAGCCCTAAGCTGGCCTAGAACTTGCTATGTAGACCAGGCTGGCTTCATCTGACAGAGATCTGCCTGCCTCTACCTCCAGAGTGCTGGGATTAAAGATGTGCATCACCATGCCTGCTTGGGATTGTTTTGACCACCATTTCTCACTGTGCTACACTGCTCAATGTTACCTCTTGAGCTCTCCAACTCTGTTCTTTTACTCATTTTTTTTTAAGAGCTTATTTTGTTTCTTTAATGGTGCCTAAATTCTGTTGTGATATATTTAGGTTCTCTGATTTTTTTTTCCTCCCTTCTTTTCTGTCTTATATACCTTTAATCCCATTTGGTAAAATGTTCATTTCAGATGTGGGGTGATAGCTTATTGAGTAAGATGCCTACCAACAAATATGAGGACTTAGCAACCCCTAGAACCCATGCAAAAAGCTGGGCATGGTGGCATGTGTTTGTAATACACCTCTGGGGAGGTAGATCCAAGTGGATCTCTGGGCCTTTCCTGACCAGCTAGCCTAGTCTAATTGTCAAGTTCCAGACCAATGAAAGATGACAGATGACACCTCCACTTCCCCCCAAGCCAGCAGGGGATGATTCATTAGGTATAGGTGCTTGCTGTGCAAGCCTGACAGCCTGAGTTTGATCTCCAGATCGCATGGTAGAATGAGAGAACTGGCTCCCAGAAGCCATCCCATGACCCCTACACACTACAGCATGCATGCATGCATGCACACACATACTATATACATAATAATAGTGATAAATAAATAAAATATGTAATAAAAATTAAAAGCCAAAACCAGGTGAATGGCTTCTAGAAGGATACTCAAAGGTTGACCTCTGGTCTCCACTCGCTTATGCACACATATGCACTTGCACACACATGCAGCTACAGACATAAAAAGTTCAAGTTTTATGGTTTTTCAAAATCTTTTTGTGTGCGTCCGTGCATGTGTGTGCATGCACACGTGCATGCTATGCCAAGGCACTTGTGTAGAGGTCAGAGAACTTTTAGGAGTCACTTTTCCCTTTCCCTTTCCCTTGCTCTGAGGCAGGATGTCTCTTGTTTCTGCTACTTTGACATGTATTCCACCCTAGCTGGCCTGTGAGTTATCTGCAGATTTTCCCGTATCTGCTTCCCTTAGTAGAAGTGCTGGAATTACAGATTGTTCTGTCACATCTGGCTTAAAATTTAGGTCATCAGGCTTGTGCAATAAGATCTTTAACCCATTGAGGCATCTCTTTGGCTTTTGTTACAATTTTAATCTGAAAGTTGCATTTGATCTCTCCCTCTCCCTTTCCCTCTCCCTCTCCCTCCTCCCTCTCCCTTTCCCTCTCCCTCCTCCTCCCT